GGGGGGGGGGGGTGGGCCCGCCGTGCAGAACCTTGCCCGAGCCATCCTGAAACGCCGGGCTCGTGTGGGCTGTGACACGTCCCAACACGGCGGCTGGGGTTGGGAAAGGAGCCGGGAGTCCGGCCCTGATCCGGGTGGAGAAAGTGACCCTCCCTGCGCCCTGGGGTGCAGGGGCATGTCCTGGCCTGTCCCAGCACCCTGCACCCCCTGAGCTGGAGAGGAGCATCTCTGGCTGCCCAGCACCCCTTCCCACAGCCTGAAGATGCTCCAGGCAGTGGGTAGGATCCGGGCTCCGGTGTTTCTCACCTTGAAGCCATCGATGCTGGGGAAGACGCTCTGAGCCTTGACCACATCGTCCTCGGAGCCGGGCAGCTGGAAGCATTTCCTGGTGTTCACTTCTTTCTCAGTGGTCTCCGGTGTGATCTTGTACCTCATCCCGTAGGGCTTCACCGCTGCCAGCTGGTAGGTTATCACCTGCCCTGAGCCAGCAGGAAGGGGAAACTGAGGCACGGTGGTCCTCCGTTTGCAGAGGGATGGGGCCAGTGTGGATGGATGCCCGCCTGCTTACCCCCATAATACTGGATCCGGCTCTTGTTTCCCGTCAGGTTATACCAGGCTTCGAAGGGCTCCTCGATCTCAGCGTAGGGCAGGTTGATGACACCTGCGGGGCCCCCGCCACGGGACAGGGGTCAGCCCTGAGACCTCAGCACCCCAGCATCCCTCCCTGAGCCTCCCAGCACCCGCAGACCCTGCAGACCCACAGCTGACCAGGTCAGGGAGAGGCACTCAGCCACAGGAAGCTGCCCCAGTTTGGCACTGGGACAGCCTGGACCTGCTGTGGGGTCACATTACCTCGGACGTGGTAGATGGAGCCAAACTGAGGGGGTGAGCGGGAGAGCCCATAGTCCTGTCCTGAAACGCAGAGAGAGACAGGAGTAAGTGGGACCTGTCCCCGTCCTTGGCCGAGCAGGGGATGGGACAGAAGCTGTCTAAGCCAGTGCTCCCCTTCCCTGCAGCCAAAACGGAGGAGGGCTTGGCCAAAAAATAGCTCCACAAGACTACTGGTGGCACATGCAAAGGCCACCAACACCCTGA